TATAACAACATCAAGGGGGAAGAAACATAATGAGACGAAACACAGCGTCAACAAACCACCAGATGTTGCAATAATCCTTCCAGAATGTTGTAACGTGTTTTTAATTGCTGAATAAGAGTCGTGTTTTCCAACAGTCTCCTCTGTAAACCGTGTGAGGAGGAACAAACTGTATTGTTAATTGACAATAAAAATACATTCAAAGTTGTGTTCGTGTTTTTTAACAACAAAATATTAACATATTTTATTATTTTGTTTATTAATACATTTATCATATTAATATATAAAAACAAACCTATAATCTATACTCATTGCACAGATACAACTCGACATAAGGGCAGGTGCAACACTGTAAATATCAATGGCAAATGTGATGGGGTACATGATACCAAATGACACGGCGAAAGATACTGATATAGTACATAAAGGTATAATCATCAATGTCAAACTCTTTAATACCCACAACAGTACAAAAATTGCAATAGGAATTACAGAAACATCCATCCTAAACAATGAAGCCATTATTTCATCTTGCAAATCAACACTTCCTGCCTCAAACCCAGTCACACCAGCATAGTAATTGCTATCAGTGTTGAGTCTTTCCATCTCTTTTCTTAAATTTTTAATAAATGTAGGAATGGCCGACGCATCTCTGTCATCTATATTGACTACAATCATAGTAATATCCCCCCTTTCTCCAACAAATTGTTTCTTTGCAATGTCCAAAATCTCTTGGTCAATCGACGAATTTAAAGTTGGCAACAAAAAGAAACCAGAGTAACTCACAATGATCTTTTGTTGGTCCATCCACATCTTCATTGACAAGGAAAAATCTTTTGTATAGTTTGTAATAACATTGCTTCCATCTTTGGTTTTGATTGTTATAACATTTTTTCCTACTTGAAAAGAGTCAGGAAACTTCTCAGCCACAAATGAATTTGCTTCATTGGCCAGTGTTCCTTTTGGTGGTTCGATAAAAAGTGATGTTGATCCAAGAAATTTCAGTGCAGGGTAACAGAACCCCAAGGCACACACCAACCAAAAAACAATAATTGCATATCGCAAGTAATGCATCACTTTGAATATGCAATTAAATACTCTGTCTTCACGACTCGGGAACTTGGTTTGTTCTGAACTGTTTAACAGTGGCTGGTTATCCGCCATTGTTGTTTAATAATGGCAAAAGAAGATCCTTTTTATATGGCTTGCCAATTTTTGTGAATAAAATGAATAGTTAAATTAACAACTGTTTTTTTTAGAATGTTATTATCATATTTTACTTGATAAACATGTTATTTTCATGTATTTTTTATTGATAAAATCAATAATGTATAAAAATACATATATCCGAAAAATTGTCCAGCACAGAAAAAACGACCAATAAACCATAAATTATTATAAATTATTATTTTTGGAATTGAAATTTGTCCTGTTTTTTTAATTTGCATTAAAACCCATTAATTAGTTTTCAGAAACCATTTTAATAGTTTGCCAGTCGTTTTTTAATGTCAGTTAGTTTTTCAAATATCTATAATTACAAATTCTAATTTAAAAAATGCCTGTTTTTCAAAAAAGCGGTTAACTTGTTAGTTGATAACCTTAGTAATCCACTTGTTTTTTGCTTATTTTTTTGCTTGAAAGGGAAAACCAGATATTTTCTATCCAGAACCTTTTGTAAAATAAAAAAACACGATAAATAACAATAAATACAAGCTCTCCTCCAAAAGCATTTTCCGTCTTTTACGAAATTATTCATCTCTTATTTTCATTGAAAAGTTGTTTATTGTGTAATTCATATTTTTTTGTTGTGTTCTTTGTCAATTTTCCACTTGAACTTTCGACAGTCAATTTATTATAGAACCTTTTGCTCTTTAATGATAACAACATTGCCTCGATATATTCTATTGTACACAATCCCAAAACTTCCTTTTTCAAGTTTTCGCTCTTTCTTCAACTCGTCTGGGTTAAATGCTGTCGACATTTTAGGCACAAATTTGAATTGATTTTAATCTCTGATTTTTTTTGTTTATGTTCAAGACTGAACAACTAATGTCAACAGTCTTTTCAAATGTACACAGAAGATGAACAGTCATTGTAAATTCTACAGCCCGATTTTTGATACCCACTATAATAAAAGGTTCAACATTCAAAACAAATTTTTATCCACCATTTTGTGTTGTGAATTGAGTTTTTAACAGAGATGTTTTGTCGAACTTCCAGTTAATTTTATTTGTTTTTGAATATTTATTATCATATTTTATTCGATAAATATATTTTTATGCAATTTTTTATTGCATAAAAACAACGATGTCAAAAATAATATAAAATAATCACAAATTTTTATAAAAATGATTATTTTTCAAAAAATTAAATCTGTTGATTGTTGACATTCTTTTAATGAAGATGGTTTTACTATATAACTATTTCAAACATTTAATTTTAGAAAAAACTTTCAACTTTTTGTTTCTATTTTTGATGAAAAAAATTATCTTAAAAATACAATTGAATTGGACAAACTAACTTGGCAAAGTTTTTTCCCCCAAAAAATAACAATATTTTAAATAATTGTATAAAATTATTTAACGTTGTAAAGTTTATTATTTGCTTTTAAACAATTTAATTTAAAAACAAAATTTACAAAACTATCTTTTAAAAAAAATATAAACAAGATATTTTTAAATTTTTTAAAAGTTCAGGGGTACAATTATCATTGTTCTCCCAAAAGTAAACATTTAAACTAAAACCAAAGATAGAAATTTTCCAAAGAGCATATTTGAAGTTTTTATTGGCTAAAATAATACCAATTTTTTATAAACCAATGTTTTAATAGCACCGGTTTTGTAATGTTTGAATAAATTTTAATAATTTACAAATTGCTTCAATAAAATAAATAATAAAATGTGATAAAAAATGAAAAAAATGTTGAAAATAAGTGATAAAAGTATCGTAAAATAAGTTTTTAATTTTCGTTTTTTAGTTTATATTCTTCAGTTATTTTTGATACAAATTTGTTCCTTTTTATTTTGTTTTTTAATATTGGTTTAAAAAAACATAAAACAATTAATGCTCACATACACTATAACCTTTTAATTTATGAAAAAAATATATTGATACAATAATTATGTAATGATAATAAAGACTGATTGATTGTATAATATTTTTATATTTATTATTATTTAAAAAACAACAAAGTCAATGGTAAAGGAAAAATATAGTACAACTATTCGTTATAATGTTTTAATTGATTTAGACTTACTTTTGAATTATTTAATTAATACATGAAAGAAAAGACTTGACAGAGTGTAATACAACTTATATTCCGAATGTTTTTTACTGAAAATAGTTAAAATTAATATAAATCAAAGAAAAATGGTGATAAAACAAAAAAACAGACAAATAAAAACCAAGTAAAAAACACATAACTTTAACATATGTATTATCAATTTTAATCAATTTTAATAATTAAAAACATAATAAAATCATTTAAAACTTCACAAAACAATTTCCTAGTTCGTCTAACACTTTATCTATTGAAAACCTTTCTTCTGGATTTTGCGTCCAACAGTTTTCAATCAAATTAATAAGCTCATCAGGAATAGAACGTTTTATTTTCATTCTTTTTCCAGCAGACACAAAATCCGCAACTTCCCATGGATATTTGAATTGTGTTTTAGGGTATGACTCTCCCCAAATAAAGCATTCATACATAGTAATAGCAAATGAATAAATGTCGCTTGATTTTTTGTATTTTTCCTTTTTTAGTACTTCAGGAGACATAAACTTTGGTGTGCCAATACCCTTGGTAAAAGTCATGTTAGTCATCAGCATATTAATATTTCTTGATGACCCAAAATCAGTCAATTTCGCATTCACCTTTTCATTTAAATCCAGTGAAAATATCAAAATGTTATCCGGTTTAATGTCTCTGTGTAATATCCCGTTTTCATGTAAATATAAAATACCTTTTGATGCATCTAACATAAATTTAACTCTTTTATTCATGTTATTTTCTTCTTTATTTTTGTGTGTAATTAAATCATTTAAACTTCCAAATTTAGCAAATTCAGTGACCATACACACTTTATTTGGAATAAAAACGGCGCCATAGAAGTGGACGATGTAGTCACAGCGAAATTTGCCTAACATGGAAACTTCGTTAGAAAATTCTTCCATTAACTTTGCGTTGTTTATCTGCAATGATTTCATCTTTTTAATAGCAACTACATTCTCTCGGTAAAATCCTTTGTACACAACTCCAAAAGACCCCTCACCAAGTTTCTTCTCTTCAATCAATTCATCCGGGTCTATTTTGGTTGAAAGTTCAGTCACTGCACTGATTTTTAAAGGAATTTCAGATGTTATTCCTTTCTTCATGTTAAGTGAAAACAAAATCACAACGTCATCAATTCGACAAGAGCATTGTGGCGTCAAAAACATTTCAAATTCGATTGCTTTGCCCTTTGGAATTGTCATCACTTTTGGTTCCGTTCTTATTGTATATTTATAACAATCGTCTCTCATTGAGAACTGCACTTTTAACGAATTTTTTGAAACATTGCCAACACAAATTAATTCGCGACTTTCTTGGACTACTGAAATTTCATTTTCTTCGTTATTTGTAAATTCAATTTGATTTTTATTCACAACAATTTCGCTGTTATTAATTCTGATAAATTCTATATTAGAACGCGATATATCAAATAAACAATATTGCATACGTATTTCTGAATTTTTGTTGTAATCTAACACTTTTATGGTAATAACAACTATTAATATAACTATACCTGTTATTATCATTAATAATAACAAAACACATAATAAAATGACCCACCAAACAACTTCAGTTTGACAAGAAGTCTTCTGGCTGTTTGGTGTGTGCCAAAAGGAGCATTTAGTACACTGTGAATTATTGACAGATATACAATTTTCAATATCACTTTGTAAATAACATTTGGATGATACCAAAACATTTTCTTTAGTGCAAAGTGTACATTTTCCACTCTGTGTGCATTTTTCACAATTTTCCGTGTTTGTGTCACATGAAATGCAAAATTGGTTATTCGTGTAAAATCCACTTGAACACAACTGACATCCTTTAGAACTCTTTTCTTTACAATTCATCAATTTGTCGTATGAAATACACCCACTTGAATTCGTCAAAAGGAAATGTTCCTTTTCACATGTCAAACAACTATTTGCTCTATTACATTCAACACAGTTTCCAATACAATTCTCACAATTTCCTTCTTCGTTTCTGAAATATCCATTTTCACATATCGCACATTTTTGCTGTCCTTTGATATATAATTTACAATGACCATTTCCTTCGAGAGAATTAACACACGTATTATTTGAAAGAAGATACGAGTTATTGCACAACAAGCAAGTATCATAAGAAGTACAAAATACACACCCTTCAGCACATTTTTCACATACATTATCACGAATAAACATCCCACTTTTGCACGAAATACATCTGTCTTTATATGGATGTGTTGATACACAATTGTCAGTTGGCTCAGTTTTTACTTCACAAATTGTGTTTTCATTTTGTTTGAGGATTGAATATCCATCTAAACACTGAAGACATTCCCCACCCTTTGTTGCGAATTTGCAATTGTTTTTATTCATCTCACAAACACCATTTGAGTTGATATAGTTCGAGTTATCTACACAAATCGTGCAATACGTGTTTGTTGAATTTTTACATCCACTTTCTGTTACATCTATACATTTCCCTTCCATAGTAAGAATACCACTTTCCGTGTTACATGAATAACACTTATTAATGGAACACAAATTACAATTTGGATATTTTGTATTACATTGGATACAATCATTCTGATTTTCTTTCAAATAAAAACCAGCTTTACATGATGTAATTTTATTGTTTGTTATAGTTACAGCATTTTCAAAATCAACACATTTTCCGTCTTTAAACAATTTTGAATTTTCACATATTTGACATATATTTGCTTTTTTACATTGAATACAAAATTCACCACATTCTTTGCATATTCCAAGTTCACTGTAATATCTTTCATAACAACTTACTGCATAATTTCTCTCAAACAATCTTGCATTTTGATTTAAATCTTTTATACAAGAATTTAAAATACCAATTCTATATCCACTTTTACACAAAATACATTTGGAGTCAACACAACGTAAGCAATTATATCCACAAAAAATACAATTGTGTTTGTAAGCAGTAAATGTGATTGGACAGCTTTCACACACTTTAGTGTTACTAGTAGTTGATAAATTACATTTAATATTATAATTAATACAATCGCCATTCATTAAATATGAGTTTTTACAATGTTTACATAAATATTCATTTGTTGAATTGATATAAAGAGCACTGCAATTCTCATTTTTACTATATAGAAAACTGTTTTCGTTTGGATACGTCCCCAATAAAACAAATCCATATCGATTCCCAATTAGTAATTTATCATTTTCGTATGTAATGTTGATTTTTTGATTATCCAAAGAGTCATCACTCACAAAAAGAACATTTGGTATATTATCATCAAATTTTGTGACAAAATTACCATTTTTGGTGATTTTTGTGACTTTCACATTTTGCTTGAAAATACCTGTAAAGTCGATGTCTTGAGTAAATTGAGATGTCTGGATCGATATCACAACGTTTTCATTAAAAATTGGACAGTGCAAACTGTTGTTATAATTTTTATATGAAGAAATGTTGGTGCCAATAAGTTCACAGTTTATACCATAATCAAAAGATCCTTTACAAATTCGACCTAACTTGTTACCTATCAGTTGTAATGGTTTTATATATTCAATTTTAGTGTTTTTCTTCTCAAATGACACAAACTCAAAACAAGTGTTCTGATTGATGCTTTCACTACTAATTTCATCTGATAAATCAACTTCGCCATTTTCGTAAATCTCAATTATTCCACTCTCATTTACTCTATCGATATACTCTGGAAATGTAATTCCACCGAAACCAAAATATCCACCACTTAAAACTTTTATTTTAGTTGAAGAAAGAATTTCCAAGAAATCAAATGTAATTGTTGTTGAAATAATAATTGTTCCGTTTATAATTCCATCATTTGCGAAAAAATAGTTATTTCCCCAGAGTTTTATTTCTGGAACATCTATATATAATCCACCCCAAATTTGGTTTTCTTTTATTTCAAAATTGTTTTGTCTAATGAGTAATAATAAATTTTGGGTGTAATTTGTATTTAGGCAGTCATTAAAACTATAAATCTCTTTCACAAATGGTTGGAATCTGTCATTAAAATACTCACAAAAGCAAACATCTGTTGGTTCTGAAAATGATGAAACAATTCGTGTGCCACACCTCGCAAGTTGTTGACTCTTATCAGAAAAATCACCAACCACATTAAATAGAATTTTATTTTTTATTGTTTCTATTTTCTCAAAAATTGTTTGGGTTGTTAAAAAATTCAATTTGAACAAAACTTTTGATGGAAATTTAATAATGAGATTCGAGACTATACAATTCACATCAAAAGTCACATCCATTCCACTTTCAAGTGTTAAATTTGTAAAAACGATTTGTTGAATGTTTTCAATTCTTCTTATAAAATACTTTTTATCACTTGAAAATAACACTGAATACCACAAAGATATATTGGGGTACACTTCTATCATTCCATTAATATCTCCAATTAATCCAGTTAAATCCAAATCAAAAACAGAACTGTTGTAAACACAATCTGGCCAATTAAATAAAGTGTCTTGATTTACATTTGAATTTATCGGTTTACAGCTACACTGTGTATTTATATAATTTCCGTTAAAAGTGGAATCAAAAAATAGAAATCTTTTGATGGCGTTTCTTTCACAAACAAACTTGATTTGATAATCTAATACAATACTAACAATAGGAATATTTAAATTGGTTGTAAACAAATATCGTCTTTTATCAAAGTTGTCACCAAAATTTGGATTCCCTTCAAAATTAAAATAAATAGACTGTTGATAAGTACCATCAATAAATAAATACGGGATTATAGTGTTCTCATCTCTCTTTATATCAATTTGATAATATTGGTCGATATTCGAATATAAAATGACACTTTTTTGATTTAATTTGATAGTGGGTCGATATGAAGGTAATACTTTTGTTCGACAATTTTCTTCTCCGTTATAACAACCAAAAAACAGCATCAGCCCATCGGGTCGGTCATCTTCATATATTATTAACCTGGTCGAATCAAAGCGTGTGTTAAACCACATTTCTTTTAATGTGATTTGAGTGTCTTGTGCATTGAATTTAAAAGACCATTGACCAGAAGAAGTTTTATTTAAGTCACTAAACAACTTGCGTTTGGAAGTACAACAATGAGAATTAAAATAGAAAGTTTGTTGATTGTCGGATGCATTGTTAAACGTATTATTCCATTCATTAGAATAACAATTACGATTTGTATCATAATAAATTATGTCTGTTGTACCTCCACACCAATCCCCTGTATCTCCTTGTGAAAATGATCGAAATAATACAAGCAACATGATAACTATCTGATTTGTATTAAAATTATTGAACATCTTCTGTTTTCTAAATATTATTGAAAATGAAATATAGTAGTTTTTATTTTTAAACAAAAAAATGACTCACGAATATCGAATTATCAATTTAAAAAGAAAAAGTCAATTGAAAATGAAAAAGATCCTTTAAAAATATATAAATATATATTATAACAATTTAACTAATAAAATTCCTTAATCATTTTAAATGGATTTATTTAATTGTATAATTTTACATGTTCTTTTAATGACAAATAATAATTATAATTTATAATTAGTTACAATAAAAGTTTAATTTTTCGTTTTTTTATTGATATTTGTATTTTTAGAATAAATTATTGTGAACAATAATGAACTGACAAATTTTTTATATTGTGTCATTTTGTGTGATATTTGCTTAGTAAATGTTCATAATTGAAAATATTGCCTAAACATTCATTAGAACTTTCTATTCTACAAGATTTTTCTGTAATTTATTTAACTTTAAATAAAATATAATTAAATAATCATAATATATAAAAAAGATTTTAAATTTGAAGAAAATTTATCTTGTTATTGTTTAATTATAATCTTTTTAATAGACTGGCCAACCGATGACCATTATTTTCAATTATGCCGAATTTTTATGGCAACGTTTCTTTTTGCCGAAACCAAAGTTGGTGATTATTGTTTTCGGGGATGCATTAGTCTACAATGTGTGAACATTCCATTAAGTATTGTTTCGATTGGTAATGTTTGTTTTGATGGATGTGACAGTCTTAATAGAATTGATATACCAACAAGTGTTATAACAATGATTATTGTTTTTGTCAATGCAAAAATTTAAACAATAAAATATTACCATCAAGTATAACATGTATTGGAAGTGGCTGTTTTAATGGATGTGATTATTTGAGCCATATTGTTGTACTTTCAAATGTTATATCATTTAGTGATGACTGTTTTTCATTAAACATGGTCGTTAAAAGAACATACCAATTAATTAATAAATTATTCTTTGTTTTTGTGTTTTTATTATAACAACAAGAAATGTATGGTTGTGGTAAACGAGAAATCTAGTGTTGTAAACAAATTTTTTTCGAAAAAGTAAAAAAAATTAAAAACAAAATTTAAATATCAAAAAAAATTTAATCATGTTAAAATTGTTAACTATTATTAATTACTTATATTATATATTTATAAATAAAACAGAGTAAGATTTTAATAATAATAAAAACTATATTTGATTATAAAAATAATATAACAATTATATTATTATATTTAATAATATTTCAATTAAATAGAAAAAACACTTAAAAACTACAAATACAACTATTTAATAATATAGTAAAAATGATGAACATAATCGAAGAAATTTTAAAAACGTGCAATTCAATTCAAAACGACATTCTTTCATATGAAAAACTACCACAAATTAAACCATTTACAGACAACACAAACTTTTTGATCCAAACTCGCATTGAAAATGCGAAAAATCAGTTCAAGTTGTATGAAATAAGAGAGAAGTATGTCACAGCATTAACTTTATTTATTAAAAAGTTCAATACACTTTCAGAACTCCTAAGCATTAATATAAAAAATGTTTCAAAGGAAAATTCAGACGAAAAATGTGATTTATCTCAACTAATTGTCAATCTATATGAACTTGACTTTATCAAACAACGAACACCTCTTGACAATGAAATCAAACGACTAGAAACACTTAAAAATGAGAACATCAAAACCTTTTTGATGAAGGACAAAACCAGTTTTGGTGGTTTTAAAGTCGATAAAAAGTTTGATATAAAATCAGAACTCATTTATTCTCAAAACTATGAAGACACAAAGAAAGATGAAATTTTACAAGAAAAATCAATTGAAAAGACCAGTGGTGTTGATATAAAACCGACTTTAAGATCTTTCGAACAAAACCAAAAACAAGAAAATTGTCAATCAGATTTAAAAAATTCAGAGAAAATGAAAAACGTGAAGATGGCACAACCAAATGACGTGAGAAACGCCTTTTCATTTTTTTTAGAGGAATTTAGAGACAAGTACAAAGCGGAAAACAGTATTTGTAAAATCACTGAAATAGCTAAAAAAGCTTCTTTGGAGTGGGTTAAGATGAGTGCACATGAACAGACGAAGTACACACAAATGGAAAAAGAAGATCGTTTTCGTTATGAACAAGAGATGGAAAAATACATAAGTTGTACAAGTAAATGTGACAGTGAAGAAATATTAAAATAAGTGATTTTAATTAAAGTCATTCTTAAAACCGTGCAACTTTGACGTGTCAGTGCAACTTTGTTTATAGTATAATTATAGTTAAAAAATTATATTTTTTTTAAAAACAAAACTAGAAAACACAAACAAATTTCTTTAAAACTATTACTCTAATTAATATACTATAAGTAAATTATAACTAAAGTTGCACAATTTTTCTCAATTAGTTTTTTGGGTTGCACCATTCAACTGTCTCGTGTTTACCGTAATTTTGCAGCGAGATAGTCTTTGAATCACACGAATTGGCTTGTCTCATTATTTTCTTTTTTATAAAGAGATGTTTAACATTTGCGCTATCCACAATCGATATATAACGCCGTTTTATTCGTTTTGTATGACAATTGGAATTTTGGAATTTTAATGCTTTTCATTAAAACAAGCAGTTGAACTTATCATTTAAATATCGAGTTGTATTTTGTGTTGATTTATAACCTAATTCTACTTTTGTTTTTGTTTTTGTTATTGTTGAAAAATAGAGTTTCACCTTTGTTGTGAGTAAAAAACAAAGAAAAAATAAAGTTTCACACTTATTCGGAATGACTTTATATTGAATTTTTTTATTTATAATTATCGTCTAATAAAAGAAAAGAATTGAATTATTAAATAAAATAAGAATTCAAATTTTAAAGTTTAACAAAACCATCAAAAACTGTTTTGAAAAAAACATGCATTTTTATATGAAAATAGCACTTCTCTACAAAGCACTTTTAAATGTTTGGCCAGTTAGAAATGCTTTTTTAAAAAAAATTATCGTACCTTTACACTTTTGGGAAATTTGATTGTAATCTATTCAATTATATTACGCCTTCAATTTATGTTTTTTAAATAAATTTATTTATCATTTAAATTGATACTATTTGATACTTTAAGTTTTTTATAAAAAGACAAATAATATAAATCTGACTATGAAATACACGAATAAAAAATTTAATATTATATTCATTTTCAATTCAAATTATAAACAAAATAATTGAAACGTGTTCATTTACTCAACTCTCACAAGTTGGCCAAGTCGTTGTCGACAGTGGTGATCATCTTGAGTCCCAAATTGTCTGCCAAGTACTTGAAGACGTTAGGTGACAAGTAAGCGGGTGGGGATGGACCTATTCTGACGTTTTTCAATCCCAAATAAATGACTGTAAGTAAGATGCAGACAGCCTTCTGTTCATACCAAGAGAGGATGATATGCAGTGGCAATTCGTTAACTCCACACTTGAAGATTTCAGCCAATTTAATAGCAACGACGAAAGCAGTGTATGTGTCATTGCATTGTCCGACATCAATCAAACGAGGAATTCCTTCAATCTCTCCAAGCTTTTCTCGATAGAATCTATACTTCCCACACCCACATGTTATCACAAGTGAAGATGGCGGCAACTTCTTAATAATTTCCGTGTAGTAATTTCGCTCTTTCTTCATTCCATCACATCCACCTATAACAAAGATGTCAGTCACCTTCTTCTCTTTCACTAAATTGACGATTTTCCCTGCAACTTCCGTCTCCAAAATGCTGTGGTGACCAAATCCAGTCAAGAAGAAGTCGAGTTCCTCGTCGTCTTCAAAGCCCTTCATCTCATTCGCCTTTTGAATCACTCCAGAAAAGTCTTTGTTCTCACCAATGTGCTTCACTCCTTTGAATCCAACTTCATTTGTTGTGTAAATGTGGTCGATATAATCTGCCTTTGGCTTCATAATGCAATTTGATGTGAAGACGACTGGGCCTGGGAAGTGGAGTAATTCAGTCTGTTGATTGAACCACGCCGTCCCAAAGTGCCCAACAAAGTTTTTGTATTTGTGCAGCTCGGGATATCCATGTGCAGGTAACATCTCACCGTGCGAATACACCAAGACGTCTGTGTTCTCGGTCTGTTCTAAGATCTTTTTCATATCAAACAAGTCGTGGCCACTCACTAATACGCATTTGCCTTTCTTGTGGCCAATTAAGACCTTTGTTGGTGTTGGATTGCCAAGTGTACAATTGGCTTCGTCTAACAACTTCATTGTCTCAAAATTCCATTTTCCAACGTCTTTCACTATTTGAATCCACTCCTCTAAAGTCCTTTGTTTGTTATCATATCCATATGAAAGGGCTTCATGGATGAAGGTCATGATGTCTGTGTTAGTCTTGTCTAACATGTTTGCATGTGATATATACGCACACAACCCCTTCAATCCAAATAAAGTGGTTTGCATTAAACTTTGGATGTCGATATTCTCATTGAGTTGATTTGGTCGATGTCCGTTCAGATTTTTGTCAACAAAGCCCTCAAAGTCCTCAATGTCTAAATCACTCTTTTCTGCCTTTTTACCTTTCTTCTCTGCAATTTGGAGCAACAGTGATTTTCTGGCTGTTATAATTTTGTGGAGATAATCCTTTAACACGTGCTCATCGAAGTTGACATTTGTTAAGGTGGTAAATAAACAATTGGCAGATAACATATCGTATTTGGAATCAATGATACCGACACTTCTTGCCTCTAGAGCTACTAAAGCATTTTGTCTCAGTGCATAGATCATTGCGTCCATAGTATTTGCTGCTAATGGCTCTTTGGAACAGACACCACATACAGTACACCCTGTACCTTTGGCAGTTTGCTCACATTGATTACAAAACATTTTTGTCATTGGACTCGATGTAAAATGAATTAAAAATGAACTTAAATATGGATAGGGTGACAAATCAGTATCAGTGGGGAACTGACTAGAATTAATTTTTAATACAATAAAGACAAAGAAAAAGAAAAGTGTTCGAATGGTCGTTTTTAATTCCTTTTTGTTATATTATTATATTTAAAATGATATTTTACTGGAACAGAGTTTATGATATACCAAACAATCCGAAACTTAAAATTTAAAGTCAAAGATATTTGTAAATTAATAATTCAATTAATTAAAAAGAAATTGAGTCAAAATTCCAGACATAACTTTTTGAATTTAACCAATCAATTTATTTCTAGTTGGATTTCAATTGAAAATTGCACCATTCTAGATATTTTGGTTAATTTTAAAAAATAATTGGATTTCAATAATAAAAAATTATAAAAGTTTTATTATTAATTTTTAGATCATATTTTAACTTGAAATAATTGTTTTTAATTTATAATAAATTTATAAAATATTGAATAGTATAGAAAGTTAATTTAAGAGGTGTATACAGGCAGTGAAGTGAAGGTATAAATTTTCAATTGAATGCTAAATAAAAGGGTTTTGAGAATAATCGAACAATTTTAGGTCATATTTTTACTGTTTTTCGGGTTTAAATTTTTGGTCAATAAAACTAAAAAAATATTTTGAAAAAATTTAGACCCATTTTTAGATTATTTTTAAATTCGACTTTGCTTAAAAATAAGTTGAAAAATAAAATTGAACGAACTTAAAAAATAAATTGAAGTCGAAAGAAGAAAAAGGCAAACACCAAGCATTAACTCTTGTTAAAAAAGAAAACAAAGATTAAATATTTTTGGTGTCATATTCTACGTTTGTTATTGTTATTTTGTCATTATTTAGCCACTTATTACATAAATATTCAAATATTAAATTTTATTACATCATCTTTAAAATCTTTAATTAATGGTAAGTTGCGAGTGTGGTTATTGAGTTATTGGCTATTGGGCGATATACTAAAAACAAACACACTTATCATCTGTTTGAGTTGTGACGAAGCAGGATTTGTGAAGTTTGCTTTGTTGCCAAGTTTAGTTAAGTGATGGTTTTTTATTGGTTTATTCGCTTCTTGGTTTATGTGTTGTTTTTCTATAGTTTTTAAATGATTAAAATAACTATAAAATATAATTTCCAAACAAACAAAATGGTAACAAGATAATCAAAATGTCAATATTTATTATAATAATAAGGACAAATTCGGCTTGTTAAATAAGGGTTTTATTGAGAATGACAATTTCAGCCAATCAAAATAAAATGTTTCGAGATAAGAAAACCCTTTTATTTAGCAATCAATTGAAAATTTATACCTTCACTTCACTGCCTGTACATAAAGTAATTTTAAAAAGTTTAATTGTATTTATTTTATAATAAATATAAAAATGAAGTGATAAAAAGTCAAAAATTGATATCAAGCAAAAAAAACATCAGCATCAATTATTATTGTAATAAAACACGAACATTTATAGTTTTATAATCACATAGTAAAACAAAAAAATGACCAGAAACTCTTTTGAGACGGTTTTGCTTCAAAACTAAAAAAAAGATTAAAACATTACATCTAACATTACAATTGAAATTATTTTTATTATATTTTATAATTAAATTAAAAATTTTTTAATAATTAATTTTTTAAATGTGTTCGAGTGTGTAAATTCCTAAATGTTATTATAAATTGAAGGAAGAGTAAATATTTGATTAAATATTTGTATATTTCATTACCATTTGTTTTTAATATCATAATAAATTTAATATTATAGTAGAGTTAAAGAAAGACTATTGAATCATTTTTCTTCAATTGTTTTATAACAAAAAATAAAATGTCAATTTAAAAATTGACCAATTCATTTCAAATTGTGTGGAGATCAAAAAACAGTTTTATTAGAGATTTTACAACATTAAATTATAATCGAATAACTTTATCATTGAATAATAAAAATATTAATATTAAATAAAATTACTGTTGATCTTGTTTATTAAATACGTGCAAATATAATTATTATAATATAATTAATTTAACCGACATTTAATAATTAAAAACACCAAAAATTCAATTATGCATTTACAATTTGATTTGTCATTGGATTACATAACTCAGAGCAGTCTTCTCCTTCAACCATCTCTTCTCCTTCGGGACTCTCTATTCCCAATTCGTCATGTGGAGAACAATCCAGTGAGTTTCCTGGCTCAAAGGAAGCTCCATTTAATAATTAAAAATGTTTTATTTGTTCAAACAATTTGACTGTTTTATCATGTTAAATCGGATTTTTTATTAATGAAGTTGAAAACATACTATATACATTTAGTTTTTTAATTATAATCAATAGTTTTTTTCTTTTTTTTTCGAAATAATAATTTTTTTGTTTTATTTTTTAAATTGTTTTTTTTAACCATATCATACGTCTAAAAGAATGCAAAAAATGTGGAATTTGTAATTCCTCCTCTGGCGAATTTTCGAGTAATGTCAACAAAGCCAGCAGACCATTTACAATAGTTAATTACAGAAGTGTTATTATTGTGGTTTGGTTAATAGGTGATGCCAATTTATTTGAAAAGCGAAGATAAAGATTGACAATTAGTGTTTTTTTAAGAATGTCAAATGGTAAAAATTAATAAGAAATTTACTATTTATTTATGGTTTTTAATTAGCGATGGTCGATACTATATATTATAATATAAAAAACATATATTCCTTTTTGATTTAAAAAATTATTAATACACTCGAATTTTGTATGATTTTATTCATTTTTTAAATCTAAAAGGAATATAGTTAATTCCCTTGTTGCATTTTTATAATATAGTTATAGAGTTGATATCGTTTTTTATATTCTGAGAGAAACCTGTTATTTTCCAATTATCATTAACCAAAAAACCTAAGACAACGATTTTGGACAGACTTTACATTATTAAAAAGTTGGAATTCAATTCAATAAACGAACAATGTTACAAAAAATCTTTCTCCATTCAAACCTTTTAAAACTGTCTGCTTTATTAACTTTGTTAATATTACAAATTTTGTTTTTGTTTTTAAGATATCTGTTTTAAATTTTTAGTATTTTAAAGATTTAAAAATTGGTTTTTTCACCTTCGGAGATCCATTGACTTTTTAAGAAACAAAGAGCCAAAACAAATGTGCTTGTTCTCAAACTTTTCAATTATAAAATATAAATTTCAATTTATTTTTACACTTGTGAAAATTATTTTGAATACTTACTAATCGTTATTTTCTTTGAAAAATTGAACAATTGGATATTTATTAACACTGAATAGGTCATTATTACGGGTTTTATATTGTATTTAAAACATCACACAAGAAATTTATTAACCAAAACAATAATTTTGGTTTAAAACTTGTCGCTGATTTCTATTTTTCCATTAAAAAATTCTAATAAAAAAATAAAATTGTATATTATAAATTATAGTAACACAAGTACAAAAAAATAATCGAATGGAGAGACATTAATTCAACTTCAAAAGAGTCACATAACTGGTTTTTAAATTTGAATATTATTTTTTGGAAAGAAACCCGTTTTAGTTAAAAATTGTAAATATAAAGCTCATTCGATATTTTAAATAAGGAAAAAATAAATTTACACCATTTCTTTTCTATATAAGTCGGTGCGTTTGAACTATGAAAAACAATGCTCTTCCTCTTCTTTGTTGCTGCTCTGAGTGAGACTCTTTACTACAACGTCCATAAACAATCAAACGATGTCGTAGACTATGAGAGATATGATGTTGGAGTATGTTACATGACTAAAAATGCTGAGTACTTCCAAATTGAATTAGCTTCTGGTGCCTATAGTCGCAAGTATTATACTGATGCTGATTGTCAAACAGCTGGCTCCACTCCAGTGGAAAACATTGACTTTGCCGCTTCAAACACTTACTGGACGAAAACCGTTGAGGCCAAGTACACAAAGGAGGTCGCCTTTACTGCAGAAGCCAAGACTGATTGCCCAAATGCCGATAAAAAGATGACTGGTATGTATAACAATGATGTCTGTTATTCATTTGGTGGAGCATATAAGAAGGCTGTCATACTCGAAGACGCAGGTCTCAAGAAGTGGGCTCTTGCTGTTTATAACGATGCTGCATGCACTAAACAAACTTCTGCCACTGGTAAGGTTGAGTGTAACAAATGTGCCTCTAACGTTTATACTGCTTGCTATGAATCATCGGCTCCAATTGATTCAGACACCCCAGACTCATCTGCTCTCAATTTTGTCTTATTGGCTCTCACATTCATCGCACTCCTTTTCTAAGTGAATTTGGGTATTATTTTTTTTAATTTATTCCATCTACAAATTGTATTTTTTATTGTAATTATTATTTGTCAACCCTTAACATTTTAATGAAAGTATAAATAAATGGTAATAATTTTTTTAAGTGTGTTATAATTGAAAATTAAACATTTTTAAAAAGTTCTTTTCTCAATTGTTTTTCATTGAATTAATAAGTGATTATTGGAAATGGTCATCAATTATTGTGTGTAACAAACAATAAATGATAAAGTTTAATCCTTGTCATTAATTATAATAATACTCTCTTAAATGTCTTTTAATTATTTGAAAACAAATAACAATTTAAGTTTTTATTTAATTGGTAATAAAAGGGAGTTCTAAACAAATGGATTTGTTTTCAGTTATTTAACAAAAACAATTGTTAAGATTGAATTCCAATAAAAACTGAAAATTAAAACTTGTTAAACTTGAAGCAATTATCAAATAGAAGATGAAAAAGTACCTACTGATGGTTTTCTTTTGTTTTTTACAATTTGTAATTTCACAACCGAGTTCTCCAACTGACTCGTTTCCATCTTCATCGTCCACAACAAGTTTATTGTCAGTTACTTCATTAAATGACAATAAACAAAAGAAAAGCAACAAAAGAAGAAGATCATTCAGACAAGTTTCTCAACATTTGGCACTTCAAAATTCCATTCGTAATAAAAGAATCAGAAAAAGTATTAAAAAAGGAGCAGAGAAGGTTTTAGATAAAGGTACAAAATTTATGGCTAAAAATGGTGACATGATTTCAAATGGATTAGATTCGGTATCAAAACATACAGCTAGAGCTTGTACAGTATCAGCATTATGTGGTTCTATGTTAATGGCTGCTGCACCTCTGACTGGACCAACTGCACCAGTTGTTGCTTCTTTGGGTGCAACATCTCATACCATATCTGGCATTTCAAAAGGTATTCAGTTGGGTGCAAGGGCTGGTTCTATTACAGTGAAGTCTTTAACGGACTTTTCAAAAGCGTATCAAACAACAGAAGGACCACTTAAAGAAAGGTTAAAGAAGGCATCAATTCAAGGAGGCAAAAGATTTGCTCAAGAAGGTACACAAATAGTTTTTGAGGAAGCGATAAACAACGTTTTGGCAGAGCAAATCAATATTCTTGGTGAATTGAATAGAGAGGGAATTGGGATAGAACAAGGGTTGTTCGATACATCACATGTGACAACTGGTGTTTTAAATGCTGTTGCGGTTCCCGAAGCAACTGAAAGAGGGGGTCTTATATTAACAAATAAAATGGGGAAAATGATGGAGAGAAAAGCACCAACAACTGAGAGGGCAAACAATTACAAAACAAACAAGTTTAAAAATATTTTAAAAAGAAGAAGAATCACAAGAAATGCAGTTAATAAAATGGAGTCTTTCAGTGATACAGTGAGAGCTCTGTTGAAGATAAAAAGAAAAGAAAAAGAAGCTCAAAAACAAGGCATGAGTAACACTCAAATAACTAAAAGTGTGGAAGAAATGATTGAGAAAGGTGAACTCGGCATTGACACAAACAGCCACAATTCAGACGAA